TCCCCAAGTCAGCTGCTGCTGAAACTGATCAGCGGCTGATTCCAGGAATCCGGGGGCAAGGGAGCTCTGCCTCGGGCTTCCTATAGTCAGCCACTGGTCAGTTTCAGCAGCGGCTGAATCGAGGACACCTGGGGTACCTGACTTACGTACAAATTCAACTTAAGAACAAACTTACAGTCCCTATCTTGTATGTACCCCAGGGACTGCCTGTTTTCTCTAATGGCTTGTGCACCACCACTGCAAGTAAAAAATGATGACCCTGATCCTACAATTGTCTCCATATTGGCACTGTGAAGCCACCTATACACAAAGGCAGCTGCAGGACTGTTGTATTGATAGTATAGCAGCTAGAAAAGGACCATGTTCTCTAGTTCATAGATATACTGCTTCTACAGTACTGTACTAGTAAGAACACAACTTGACTCACATGCAAAAGTTAGCAAGACTGGGGCTTAACTTTACTCATGAGAATAGTCCTACTAAAATTCAAAAAACAGAACCAGAAAAAAGCAGTACAAGGGCCATCAAAGAGACTACTACTGAGTATGAAATTGTGTATGTGCAAGCACACACATCTTTGAAGACTTGGAGTATATAGGAGATAGGGATTCATCTGATGTAGCACTGCCTGACAATACTTTGAGCACAAGTTCATAAACAAGCAATATCTAGGCACAGGATAAACTGCACAGCACTTCCCCAGCTAGTTCACAAAATAAAATTATTGCAGGAAAAACATGACATTTCATAGCGTAACTGACATCTACCCAACAGGAAAAATTATTCTCCTGCTTTGTTCTATATATAAATATTATTTGGTTTTCTAAACTTGCAAAAGACTGACAGCATATGAAGCACAAAATAGACTGCACTCTCCATAAATCAGGAGGACTGTTAGAAAGTTATCAGATTGGCAGCACAAGAAACTATTGTTCAGAGTAAAACTACCTCATGTTACCAGTGCCCATTGAAAGAGCAACACTACAGATATATGCTCATCCATCTATGTATTGTATTCTTGTGAGGGAAAGGTAAAGGAAACAAGGAAACAGGACAAGTCAGTTTGAAGCTTTAAAGACTAAAACACACACTGGACTTGCCTAGCACTGATATTCCTAAAAAGCTGCATTCCAGCTCTGAAATCACAGCAGGCATCCAGAAAAACGAAGGTCAAGACGTTTCTTCTTCACACTCAATACATTTAAATCTGAAAGAAACTTAAAAAACAATAAATGGTGCTGCAGCACCTTAGAGACAAACTACATTTTTGTTGGTGTCTAAGGTGCTGCAGGACCACTAATTGCTTTTTAAGCTTTTTCAGTTACAAACTAACACAGCTTCCCCTCTGAGATATTTAAATTGGAAGACACTCACAACCCATGATTGGAAATGCCCATTGTCACCCTCCAAAACACATGTTCTGAAAACCGTTGCCAAACCGTTGCACAGCTAGCGTGACCATGCTGGATCAGTCTCAGCCTACCACACTGTGAAGTTCCTATATGTGGCTCAATCCTGCAAATCCACAAATCTCTGGGCAGTCCTAAAGGCAGCACCAGACAGAGTCAGTGCACATATCTCTTTGCAAGTCTGAATTTCAGAAAATGCATAATGTTTAAATGAGATGCAAGTTTGAATACCTAGAAATTCACTACCATCAATTAGCTTTCATGTTCCAGAATGTAAAGTACTAGATTAGAAACACAAAAACTCCACAATCCTGTGCTGCAAAAATCATTTTAGAATTCTTTGAATTACATCTTTCTGCTCGTACTTTAGCTTTGGTTTAAAATTATGACCTGGTTTACAAGTTACCTCACTGATGTCAATGTTTTCGGGCTCCTTCTTTTTCTTGTAAATAGCCTATATTTATGAACACTGCATGAGGCTGATAAGGCGGAGAGTTTCCGAGGACCAGCAACTACCAGCATAATGCAACACCATTCAGACTGATTCCCATTTTCTGTCTGTCTGTGTCTGTGGGATTTCATAGGGCTGCATATTTTTCAATCAGACAAAAGTACTGCAGAGATTGCACTAGTGGGCAGTTCTTAAGCTTGAAGGCCATTCACTGCATGAACTTCGCCTTTCCTCTTGCTGTGGCAACTCCTCACTCTTTTATTAGACCCCTGCAAACAACGGTTCCTCAAGGAACATCTTACTGGAACATTTCCACTGGAAAATGCCTTTCCAAGTGTCTTTGTGATCAAGGCTATTCATATTCTTATACACACATCTCGAGAGCACAGAGCGCATTATAAACAACTCAGCTGCTATGTCGCTTTTCTGCTAGTTTGCCTCCTTTGGAGGAGACGCCAAACTGTTTAAAAATCTTTGCTTTAAAAAGTACACTTACAAATATCTACAATAGCTTGAGCCAGTGCAACAAAAATACTGATATCAGGATAAAGTTTTTTACATAACTCTTACCTGACTTGATCAGAAAACAGCACTCCAAAAGCTAAAATTTCCAGAAATTATCAATTTAAAAAATGGCTGCCACTTATTTCCAGCTCAGAGTTGAGACCTAGCAGCAACAAGGCAGGCAGGCCAGCTGCTGCCCGGGCATGTTTGGGTAGATGAGGAGGTAAGGTTTCTTGGATCAGGGGTTCTCAGACAGGAGGTCATGAGCCCTCAGAGGGGTAGCAAGGTAGTTATTTGGGAGTTGTGAGCTGTCTGCTTTGTGAGGCTGAAAGCCCTATGCCCCCATTAAATTAAATCCCCCCATTTTGAATTTATAAAGGGGATTACACTCAGAGACTTGCTGCATGAAAGGGGTCACCAACACAAAAAATTGGAAAACCACTGGCCTAGATGGTGGATATCTGACTCAGAGTCCAGGGGCCACTTCCAGACACTCAAGAGCCAGCAGCCCTCTCCAAGAAATTGCTATACCCCACCAGCGTCAGTCAGAGATGCAAAGATGTAACTCAAATGTCCCCTATTAAATGAGACAACTTCCATTTTGGTCCCAAAGTTACCCCTATCCTAAACAAGGATGGTGTCCCTTCACTCTCACGGCTGAAAGAAAAGAACCACGAAATTGAGGGGATTCAAAATTACTTAAACTTGTGTTAAGTTACACGCATGAATCATTTCTAGGTGTTCGTCATGTTTGGTCTCTGTCACACATTGGACCCACACATGAGCCCTGGCAAATGGAGAGGTAATACATACAACATGGACTCTCATGGATTATGTTGAGCATTGGTGCCTCGTGGCAGCCAAAGTACTGGGGCCAAAAATCAGCTGCAATAAACCACACTGATGTAAATGGTAAGATGGAAGGGATGAGAGCTGTATTGTAGGGCCAGGCTAGGCCATGCTGATAGACACACATTGGAACAGAAGGAGTTTCCTGGTTTCCAGGACAGAAGAGGGGGATTAAGGAAGCTAGTGGAATGCCATGTACTTCTTGCACTTCCTCTAATATGTAAGGCTAGAACTGCCACCCACTACCTTATGCAGGGAGGTAGGCGTCTTAGCAGCAGCTACTGACAGGCAGAGCCAAAGAACAAGGGAGTAGATCCATGCTTAGAAGCAAACTAGAGAGATGGAGTAGCATGTGGAGAAGCAGGAAGAGAATCTTGCACCTAGGACAGAAAAGAACAAGGAGAAAACCACAGAAAACTTTTGTTGGTCAGGAGCATGACAAAAACCACAGCCTGACACAAGTTTCACTGACAAAAGTGACAGTGTGGACAGTGCTTTGTCAGTGGGAGACACTCTCCTGCCAAAGTAGCTACTGCCACTCGTGGGGGTTGTTTTATTACACCGGCAGGGGGGGCCTGTCCCGCTGGCATAGAGCCGCTACACAGGAGACCTTACAGCAGTGCAGCGGCAGAGATACAGCTGTGCCATTGTAAAGTGTCTAGCATAGATACAGCCGAGATGAATGTGGCAGAGGAAGTGAGGGAGAGGAATGAAAAGCATAGTTCTTCCAAAGCAGGTGAAAGTAATTTCATCTGTTCAGGCAATACAGCCAGCAATTCTTAGTTGCTTCTATGATAAACTGCAATTTTCCTCCTTGTGGAAAACTCTCGTAGGCATAAATATGACTTGCTAAAAAAAGCTACAGCAACATCTACTTCAGGGCTTAAGAGAGAAATCATCCTGCTCAGCTCGGTACAACTTCCTATCAGTCAGTCAGACATCGTTCTACACAAGAATAACAAACATTTATGTATTTGCTGCCACGCCATGCATGAGACAGTAACCTTATTACCCAACTTCCTCTGCCAGACCAGTCCTGATTTCCAGCTCCTCCTTTGCAGGTTCCAAGCAAAGGAGACAAAATGGCATTTCTTCTTTAAGTAAAGCTAAAAAGAGCATTCCTCCCTCTCCCTCCCATCATTTTCACAAATATTAGTGATTGGCTTAACATTAGAAATTCCAGAATTGGCTACCTTTTTAAGTCTCTGAGGGCAATTGGAGATTCTGGAGATTGAATGGAAGTAATTTTTTTAGTATTGTTATTTACAATGTCCTTTTTCCCCCTTGGGGGGGGGCGGGGTAACACTTATGTCAAATACTTTCAAACCACTTTTCAACAAAGGAAAACATCTTTGTTACTCTAAATCCTAGTAAAGAGGAGCAGTCAGAAATTGATAAAGGTAGGAGCTGAAGAAAAACAATCAAATGAAAAAGAGTCCTATTCAGTTACATCACATGAATCATTATCATTAGCCACCACAGGCTCAAGGCCCGTTGGTGTCCGATGCCTCCCTCACTATTTCCTTCCATCTTTCCCTGTCCAGTGCAGAGTGGCTTAGTTTCTGTAGACTAGCTCTGCACCAATCTACTATATAATCTACCGATTCTCTGTGGGGTCTGCCTCCACATCCACTATACCGAATACCAGAGTCTTAAATTTTTCACTCATCATTCATTCTGCAGATATGCCCGAACAGCTGTAACTTCCATTGTATAACCTTCTGCAGCAGGTTCTATTTCGCCTGTATCTTCCTATAGAGCTCTTTGTTGGTGACGACCTGCATCCATCCTATTCTCAGGCTCTTTCTATAACAACTCCTCTCGAACGCCAATACCCTTCTCTTCAAATCTTTCGTTATCACCTATGTCTCACATTTGTACAACATGCTGCTACATATACATGTTCTCAAGATGCTCAGCTTCATTCCTAAGCTAATCGCTTTACTTTTCCAGATCTTATCCATCGAATTCATCACATGACTGCAGACGACCAAATACAGACAAATTTGAGTAGTACTTGTATACAAATGTTTGAAATCTAAATACTAAGGTGGGTGGATATGAGTGCCTGGTATTAAACCAGGATATTGATACAATAGGCATCAGAGAAATGTGGCAGAGAAATAATCAGTGGGACATGGTAATAACAGGGAACAAAATATACTGGAATGACAGGAAAGGCTTGAGTGGCTGTCCTGATACAAGAACAGCGATTGACTAATGGGAGTCTGAGCATGGTCAAAGGCCTGTGTTCTACGTGAGATATCAAGGGATCAGAGGACCTTAGTGACTATTTCTAATAGGGTGAGAAATGTATTGTGTATATTTGGGATCTGTTTTTGAGAACCAGTCACTCTCAACCTTTCCAAAGTACCATGCCGCTTTCAGGAGTCAGATGTGTCTTGCAAACCCCAAGTTCCACCTCACTTAAAAACAGCCAGCCAGCTAGCTCTGAAGAGAGCTGTCATTAGCAACTGAGATGGCATGTTGCCTGGGCCCCTGGTGCCTCTGCTCCACCACGATGAGAGCCCAGGAGCAATGCTCCAACGAAGTTTGGGGCCATGTTTCTTCCCCTCCTGCCGCCCCCACGCACCTCCACCGGTTACGCCTGACCCACAGCTGATTTAAAAGGGCCTCAGAGCCAACATTCCCTCTAATGTTTTCCATCCATGGGTGGAATACAATTTGTTATGTGCACTGAGACATGTGTGAATGTGCACCACCAATAGAAAAACACATGCTGACTGTGGGCACTATGCTAATCAGCTGGGTAGCATCTGAATGTCTCCCAAGCGCTCAGCTTACAGGGAATCCTGCTACCACAGACAGCACGGAGGGCTAAAGTGGCTTGCTGCCCGCCCACTCCTGAATCTGGAAGTGGCTGCCCGCACGTCCATGCAGCTCCTGGGCAGGGTGGGCATGTTTGTCTGCGCACTGCCCCTGTCCTGAGCACTCCTATGGCCAATCTAATATATAAAGAAGAATGTTTGTATGTTTGTGCTCTAATAACTTGGACACTATAAGACCTACCGCAACCAAACTTTGCATGGGATAACCTTTCCTCCAGGAGAAGGTTTTAAGGTACTGTGGGAGGGAAGAGATGAGAGACTGACACCTCTCCCTGGGGCTGCACGGAGCTAGGCAGTGCGGGGACAAGTGGCTTCCCCGCCATTGCTGAAAGCACATGGAGACCCCTCTTCAATACTGCGATTGGTCGGCCGCCAGGCCCCGTGCCAATGAGCGAGTGGGTTGCTGCCGGGGCTCACTCTAGGCGGAGGAGGTGGGACTGCTGTTACCGCTCAGCTGCCACTTTAAAAAAAATGTCCAGAAGGAGGCTCATCAGGGACCTGGAAGCGGGAGAGGGGGAGGGGAATGAATGGGAGGGCCTGGTTCTGGGCAGGGCTGGACCATTGGAGGCGAGTGCGGGGTAGGGCAGGATTGGGGGGGCTGGATCATTGGGGGGTGGGCTGGTCTGGGGGGGCTGGACTGTTGGGAGCGAGTGGGGGGAGGGCAGGATTGTAGGGGAATGAAGGAAGTGGGGCTGGACAATTCTGTAGGGAGTGAGTGGGTATGTCTACACTTGCAGCCTATTTCGGGGAGGGGGTCTCCTTTATGGGTCACTAGCCTAAGGGGCAGCACTGGATGATGCTGGGTGGGTGAGAAATTAATCTAAGGCGGGGTGGGGGATCCCTCAAATCTGGGCACTGGTCCTGGGTTTGATACTGGATGATCCTGGGTGTGTGTGTGAGAGATGCAGTCCTTGGGAGGGACAGCTGGTCAAGTGGGTGGTGCTGGAGGAGGGACTATAGAGGTGCCAGCAGGCTCAGGTAGTTGACTCAGTTTCATCAAATAAGATGGGAGAAGAGTTTGAGGTGTCACCTTGAAATCTCAGATTCAGTAGGGCCAGCCCCATTGATTGAGGCATCCCTATATTCAGCTCTTCGATGAGAATTTGCAGACCCAGCATGCCTATCCCCTACTTCCCTACCAAAAAAAACATTAGCTTCTATTAGGATAATTAGCAAAAATACCATCTGATAGGAAGCCAAACATTGCACTACTGAAGAGGGGCCTACATATGCTTCCAGCAATGGTGGGGAAACAAGCCTTGGTGATTTGGGGGCTCTCCCACTGTGCTTTTAATGGCTCCAAGACTCATGACATGGGAAGAAACAGAGACATAGTTTCTCTTGTGACTTGTATCTAAGTTTGCCAAGTCAAATAGCTCTGATTCTCAACGTTGCAATGCCTCTTTTTTGAGTCAGAGATTTTGCTTTATGCAGCAGTAGAAAAGCAGGAGGGTCTTCCATAATGGCCAGATGTCAGGCACTGACAGTTGTGGTGAAAATGTCAGGACCAGCTTCTATTTTTCTAAATTTTGTTCCTCCAGTTTCCTGGGCAACTCTGGGTAAGTCCAGTTAGTAGGCTATAAAAAAGAAGTGTGGTTCCCAATTACCAGAGGCCATCTTTTTCATGGTAAGTAGCAAGAACAGGAATATTTGCCTCATGCAAAACAAAAATAAAAAATGTTAAGTTGACTGCATACAATTGTGTAGTTTAATACAACCTTTCATTGTTTCTGACTTTGTTTAGTTTAAATTTCTGGACTGGCTCCAGCTTCAAGTTTCATGACCATCATGACTGAGGCTATGATACTTTTTCATAGAAAAGTGTAATAAATGTTGTGTCCTCGATGAAGGAAAACAAGGATATGTGTCTCAGAGAGGGGTGCAATGTAAGGATGTTAAGTATTGGGTAATTGACTAATCGAATAGTCGATGCATTTTTCATCAACTTTTCAATTAGTCGATAGGGTGCCTCTCCCTTTGAAGAGTAGCAACAGACCTAGGGCTCCCCACAGCATTTCAAAAAATGCGGTAGTGCCACACAGAACCTTGGGTCAGCTGGGGAGTCCCCAGATGATCTTAGGCTTCCCAGCTTTTCAAAGCGGCAGCACCACACGGAGCCTTAGCTGGGGAGTCCCAGACGATCCCAGGCTCCACGTGGCGCTGCCGCTTTGAAGTACTCCCTTTTCTTCCCCCTTTTGCTGCCTCTATCTGTTATATGCAGGAAGGGGGTGAAGCAACTAGCTGACAATCCTGTCGACTATCCAATAAGCATATGCTTATTGGGTAGTCAACTAGACCTTCACATCCCTAGTGTAGTGGAGGGTGCTGGAGTGGCTGGCTGAAAAGTAAGACCATTTGTACTCACTCTGCAACAGGGCTGTGCCTGGTTTCCTGCTCCAGCCATAGTTAACTGACCCAAGTGGTTGCAATACCACTTTGTTATGGCATGTCTGCTCCTCCACAGATGAAGACAGAGGGAAGAAGAGTCAAATTGTATTGGCATTGGACATAGAGCTGGACTATATGGTCTTAACATGAGTCAGATTTGACCCTGAAATCTCTTAATTAGTGAAAAATGGAAGCAGTAACCTGGATTTCAAAAGTGTTTTGTGTCTGGATATTTAGGACTGTGCTTAGACTTTTAACTTTAGTGGAACCATATAAGAGTGCCATTTTCATGCAGTGGCTCTTAGTGGATTAGACTGTATGTTAAAATGCAGTTCTAATGTTGACTATTACAACAGAACGTGGGCTTGATTTACTAATATTACATTGAAGGCATATCTGATATTTTATTATAGAAATCTGAAGGCCTGATACCTGGAGTGCTGTTCGCACATATTTTTGGTCACTTTTGATTTGGCATCAAGCTATGATGTTTGCTTTGGAAGGACAGGTCTGCAATGCTTATTTAATTAGAACTATTCAACCCACTTCCTTTTATTGCTTGCTAGATCCTGACAAGTGGGAATATGAAGAAACTGCTTTAAAAAGGAAAATTACAGTAGAACCTCAGAATTACGAACAGCAGAGTTATAAACTGACCAGTCAATCACAAATCTTATTTGAAGCTGGAAGTACGCAGTCAGCATGAGAGAACAAAAACAAAAAAGCAATTATAATACATTACTTGTGTGTAAACATAAACTACTAAAAATAAAGAATTTTTTTTTAAAAGTTTGGCAAGGTAAGGAAATTATTTCTGTTCTTGTTTTCATTTAAATTAAGACTGTTAAAAGTGTCATTTTTCTTATGCATAGTTCAGTTTCAAAGCTGTACAGGCAGTCCCCGGGTTATGTACAAGATAGGGACTGTAGGTTTGTTCTTAAGTTGAATCTGTATGTAAGTCGGAACTGGCATCCAGATTCAGCCGCTGCTGAAACTGATCAGTTTCAACAGCGGCTGAAT